CTGGATTTGGGATTTAAAATGAACCCCAGGAGTTCCTGGGACATCTCAGATTCCCAGGGATGCTCCAGGGGCTCCATTCCCAGCTGGAATTCCTCTGGATTTGGGATTTAAAATGAACCCCAGGAGCTCCTGGGACATCTCAGATTCCCAGGGATGCTCCAGGGGCTCCATTCCCAGCTGGAATTCCTCTGGATTTGGAATTTAAAATAAACCCCAGGAGCTCCTGGGACGTCTCAGATTCCCAGGGATGTCCCAGGGATTTGGGGGGGATCACCATTCCCAGATTCCCAGGGATTTTGGCGGGGAGGATTTTCCCTTCCCCCAGCTCCATTCCCAGCTGGAATTCCCCTGGATTTTGGGATTTTCCTGCAGATCTGCAAAGGCACCCCCCAGCACGAGGAGATCTGCCTGGGGCTCTTCACCCTCGTCCTGACCGACCCGGCGCAGGCCCAGAAGGTGAGGAAAGCCCTGGGAGAGGGCGGGAATTCGGGAATCTCCCTGGGAATTCGGGAATCTCCCTGGGAATCCCTTGGGCCAGTCCCCTGCTGGGGCAGATCCTGCTTTTTCCGTGGGTTTTTCCCGGTTTTTCCCTTGCCTTGGGAGGCCTGGAATGGCTTTTTTTCTCGTGGAAACTCCTGGAATTCACCCTCTGGAGAAGCTCAGCTCCCAGGGAAAGTGATTTTCTGGGAATTCGGCTCTGGGAATTCCCAGATCAGAATCCCACCTCTGGGAGCAGATCCAGGAGGAGGAACGTGCTCAGCTCCGGGGAAAGCAGATTCCTTGGGAATTCAGCTCTGGGAATTCCACATCCTGGATCACAATCCCACCTTCGGGAGCGGCTCCAGCCCCAGGAATCACCTCATGGAATCAAAACCAGCTTTTCCTGGGAATCCTGCTGGTGCTGTGGGAATCCCATTTTTCCTGCATCCACCCGAGCATTCCCAGCCTGAATTCCCCGGGATCCGTTCCCGAGGCAGGGGAAGCTTTTCCTGCTTTTCCAGAGCTGCTTTTCCCCTCTTCCCATGGAATGACCCTTCCAGGGGTCAAAGCCTGGGAGAATCCCACCCCTCTGGTGGGGAGCATTCCATGGATTCCTGAGGAATTTTCCTCTGGAAAAGGGAGGTTCTGCTGTGGCTGCTCCCAGCGCTTTTCCAAGGAAATCATTAATTGGGATAATTGGAATTATTGCATCTGCCAGGCTCTGCTGGAGCCGGGCCAGGGGTTCCTCATCCCAGCAGGGATTTGGGATCTGGGATCTGGGATTTGGGATTTAACCCCTCCCTGCCCAAGCAGCTCCCACATCCCCCCCGAGATCGGATTCCTGGGATCTGCTGGGCTGGGAAAACCCAAATTCCCAAAACTTGGCCCAGAGACCCCAGACCTGCCCAGGGACTCCTCCAGGAGCCAAAAATCTGCCCCAAAATTCGGCACAGGGACCAAAGGAACAAAATCTGCCCCAAAATTTGGCACAGGGACCAAAGGAACAAAATCTGCCCCAAAATTTGGCACAGGGACCAAAGGAACAAAATCTGCCCCAAAATTTGGCACAGGGACCCCAAAATCTGCCCCAAAACTGGACACAGTGACTAAAAGACCAAAATCTGCCCCAGAATTTGGCACAGGGACCAAAGGAACAAAATCTGCCCCAAAATTTGGCACAGGGACCCCAAAATCTGCCCCAAAACTGGACACAGGGACTAAAAGACCAATCTCTGCCCCAAAACTCAGCAGAAGGATCCCAAAACTGGGTACAGGATCAGAATCTGCTCCCAAATTTGGCACAGAGACCCCCAAAATTTGGCACAGGGACCAAAAGGCCAAAATCTGCCCCAAAATCTCCCCCAAAACTGGGCACAGGGGACCAAAATCTGCCCCAAAATTTGGCACAGGGACCAGAATCTGCCCCAAAATTTGGCACAGGGACCAAAATCTGCCCCAAAATTTGGCACAGGGACCA